TTTATACACACTTTAAACTTATTAAAAGGTAAATCAATTATTTCTTTTGGTATTTTATTATAGTAACATATACCTTGACCCACAAATGAACCAAGAACCTTTTGGAGTCTCAATGGTGGCAATTTAAATCATATCATAAATCATAATCTTTATTTGCTAAAAACACGGTATATAGGTATTACACAACGGTTTGAGCACGTGTTTTGCCATTTTAAAAATAGCATGCAAATACATAATATGGAACCAATAAAAAAAAGAGATTAATTAATTATAACATTTTTCTGTAGAATTATGAATGTCAGAGTTACCTAATATTATGTCAATAAAATATACAATGTCAACATATTAATATTACAAGATTTCTAAATGTCAGATATAAAAAAAAATAAAAAATTAAAAAGATACATTTATCATAATTATTATAGGATAAGTTAAAAACATGTCATTAATTTTTATAATTGAAAAAACTTTTTAGGTCATAAAAATTGTTTTCATTTAGCCATTTATATAATTTATTTTTAAACATGTTCATATTCAGTATTTTTATGTCGGGAGGGATTTTATTATAGATCTCGACACAAATGCATAAGCAACTTTTCCTATATTTGTCAGATCTTGGGACCTCATTAAATATCATTCTGTAAGGGTCTCTAAGCCGGAAATTATTAACCCTCTTGAACAACTGCTTGTGCCCGTGGACAAACACTGCTAATTCATATATGTACAGCGATGGCAGCGGCAACAATCCAAGACTTTTAAATAATGGTCTACATGATTGGTCTGGCGGGATTCCACATATTGCCCTAATGCACTTCTTTTGTGCAATAAAGGCTCTATTCTTATCCGTGCTATTACCCCAGAGTATAATTCCGTACCGAAGGATAGATTCTATGTATGCACGATAACACATAACAGCGGTTTTTTTTATTGGTTAGGTTTTTTATGCTTTTCAGAGCATACACAAATTTATTTATTTTATGACTTAACATATCTATATGGGTTTTCCAGTTTGTATCTTTGTCAATTTTTACACCTAGGAATTTTAAACTTTCTACTTCTTTGATTTTTGCTACGTCTAATGTAAACTTATATTTTTTATGTTTAGATTGATTAAATTGTATATAATAGGATTTATTAATATTAATTTTAAGATTATTTGCATTAAGCCATTTAATGATCATGTCAATAGTATTATTAATGTCAGATGAATGTGTTCGTAACGAGTCATTGTTTTTAATGTTATTTGATGTTACAATTATTGATATGTCATCGGCATATAAAACACATTTATGTCGAGTCACCTGTGTTATGTCATTGATGTATAATAGAAATAAAATTGGTCCTAGAACGCTCCCTTGTGGAACGCCACACCGAATTTCCCTAAAACCAGATGAGAACGATTTCATTTCATTTTGTGTTACTTTGCTAAAAATAACTTTTTGGCGCCTACCGCTTAGATAGGATGCTAACCATGATAAGGTGGGTCCTCGGATACCGTAGGATTCTAGTTTTTTTAATAGTCTCGGGTGAGCAACACAATCGAAGGCCTTTGACAAGTCAAAAAATAACCCCGTTGTTAAATATCTATTATTTAGATTTGTCAATATTGTTGACATAAGATCAAACATTGCCAGCGATGTAGATTTTGCTTTTTGAAACCCATATTGCTCTTTTGTTATGATTTTGTATTTCAAACAAAAACTCATGAGCCGGTTTAGCATTGAATTTTTCGAAGACTTTTGAAAGGATCGGTATTAACGTAATAGGACGATAGTTATCCGGATTCTCTCTGTCCCCTTTCTTATGTAATGGTTTGACTAAAGAGATTTTTAGTTTATCAGGAAACGTTCCTGATATAAACGATGTATTAACCAGGTGTGTAAGGACCTGTTTTAGTTCTGTAGTGCACATCTTTAATATCTTTGTACAAATATTATCATATCCTTCAGCGTTGGTATTATTTAAACACATGATTCCCTTTTTTACTTCTTCAATGGTCATTGGTTGTAAATACATTGAATTGGCTAGTGATGGCAATTTTTGGTTATCTTTAGTTAAGTTTATTGATGGCGATTCAGTCAAATTTATGAAGTAGTCATTAAAAGCAGTAGCTATGTCATTTGGATATGTCAGTGTTTTATTATAAATTTTAGATTAGTAATATTGTCATCAATTTTAGTATTATTAATTTCATTTTGGATTACTGACCATGTAGCCTTACATTTATTTTTGCTCTGATTTATGAATTTCATAGTAGTATTTTTTCGCGAATAATGTATGCATTTATTTAAAATATTAGTATATGATAAGTATTTGTTTTTGTTTTCTAATGTTTTGCTTTTGTAATATCCGAAGCGCAGGTGTCTTTTTGTTTTACAACTAATTTTAAGACCAGGGCTTATCCATTTTTGTTTTTTCCTTTTCACGTTATTGATTTTTTTTCTTATATTTGGAAAACATAAGTTGTAAAAAAGGCTCAATAAGTCATGAAAGATTCCGAAAGCTGTATTGAAGTCAGGTTCATTATAAACTTCGGACCACGATAGTTTAGTTAAACATTCCCTAAATTTTTCAATGTTTTCAATACAGTAATCTCGTTTGTAAACAAAATAAGATTTAGGTTTTATATGTATTTGTTTCATGGGAAAGCTGAGTAGTTGAGCTGTATCATGGTCTGATAAGCAAAGAGGTAAAACCACAGATGTTGCATTTTTTATATTACTAAAAATATGATCGATGCAAGATTCTTTCCGCGTGGGGGTGTTAATATGTAAAGTTAAGTTGTAGTTGTTACACAAATCTTTTAAATAATTGTTGACTTTGCCTGGTTGTAATGTGTTGATATTTATGTCACCTGCAACAACAATTTTTGTATTTTTTTTATAACGTCTACATATTTTAGTTTTTGTTTCACAATTTGAGTTTATCTTTATTTCTGGTATTGAAATTATGTACATCATCGCGCCTCTTATATAAATTTATGTTCTGACGCACAAACAATATACAATTGTAAATGTATTGAGAGGCAACAGTCATTATACCTATTTCTTTAAATTTATCCCTAAGAGAAGTTCGAGATCCCAAGCGGTAAATAGCTCTTATAGCTCGTTTTTGAAGAATAAAAACTGTTTCAATGTCTGCGGCCGTGCCCCATAATAGAATGCCATACGACATAATGCTGTGAAAGTAGCTGAAGTATATTGTCCTAGCAGTGTCGATATCTGTAAGCCGTCTTATTTTATAAATTGCATAAGCAGCAGAACTTAGTTTACCGGCTAGTGTTGTAATGTGACGGTTCCTATGAAGTTTGTGGTCTAGTGTTACGCCTAAGAAAATGGTTGTATCGACTAAAATTAGTTTTTCACCATTTAGAATTATATCATCAAACATATAAAGATAGATAGATAAAGATATTAAGCTTTTTACTGACCGTACACAGCGCTAACGTCCAAGGGCAACTGCGTCAGTAGTCTGATGTCGCGACGCAAGTTGTCCAGCGCTTGGACAACTCGCACCGTACTCTCTTCACACGGGGCGGAGTATTGCTTGCGGAAGACCAGGCTTTCCAGCTGGTCGTGGATGTGGAATAGCTCCGATGATGGTATATCTATCAAGGGAAAAGCAATAAATAAATATATGTAACTAGCAAACCAGTGAATCAAATGTTCACCAAAATCTGATTTAAAAAAAAATGTATTTAATTAATTGAGAACTTCGGAGATTTTGTGTGGTTTCGTTTGAAATTCGTGATTTCTCGAAAACCGGAAGTGCTACTCAAATCCGGTTTGTAGTCTTATCAGACTATTCTTAACTTATAACTTATACATTCTCTTTATCTATCTCTTACGGTTTGGCCGCTGAAACAGAACCACAGACGGACGGACGGACGGACTTAGATATAGATAAGAGATGTTAGCAGACGAAAGTATTACGTTGTGAAGTGGACCGGGACCCATTAGATATTCAAGAATACATAATATTTTTCAATAATGGGTTCCGAATGTTAAAGTAGCTTTGTTCCTTATTAACAGAATTATAGACTACTGGACTTGTTTTTTCTTTTCAGTTTTTATTTAAAGTATAATTAAGCAGTCGGGTTTTTTGATTTTTTAAATTCACCTTTTATATTTCACACTTTTTAGTTATTTGTTTCTTAGGTTTTCACGCACATCACTCATTAAATAAATAAAGTTTCGTGCATTAACCCGTAAAAACTAGTTGTACTTTTTAGTTAGTATTTTAAGACAGTATATACAGTAGTCTTGTTACTTTAGTAAGGGAATAAATATCGCGGGAATTATTAAGTATCTTGCGGTGGTCTAAAAGATTGATTTATTAAGACATATAGAGACTTTACCAGCGGGGTCAAGGCTACAGATGGGCCACAATTTTCGCAAAAATGTGTGAAATTAAATTAAGTCGTTACGTAAATATCTAATGTATGTAAATTTTATAGTAAACTACCACTTATTCAATAATTTGTTAATACAAAATGTTCATTTTTGAAATAGATATCAAATAATATTTTAGTTTTGATTCACTATTTTAGCGGTAATAACTTACACATTAAAAATGGATACATGGTGTCGCGGACATTTTTTTAGAACTATTTTAGAGATACATTTTCACTCTACATTACATTCATGTAGCTTTTATTGTTTTTGCAGTGCAGGCCAAAATGGCTCACAGATGGGAGATTTTTTTCCGTCTTATGTGACACTTATTGTTATATTTTGGCCAATTCACTCAATAACAACATAAATTATTATATATATGTTAGTATCATATAAGAGAATCGATCAAAATCCTTTCTTAGCGGATGCTTACGTCATAACATCTACCTGCATGCCAAATTTCAGCCCGATCCGTCCAGTGGTTTGGGCTGTGCGTTGATAGATCACTATGTCAGTCAGACACCTTTGAGTTTTAGATATATAGATATGATTTTTTAAACCTTCCGCTGCCGCTCGATATATTTACTGCGAAAAATCTATATTTACCATATTTCAGTTTAAACAGGTAGTCTACTATCTGTCGGGTGACGCCCCTCCTGTCCGCCAGCGTGTCGGCCTCCCACACGCAGGTCTCCGTGATGGAGCCGTCCTGGAAACGACGCAGCTCAGACTTGTCGCCCCAGAACGATCTGTGTTCAAACAAAACTATATGGAATCCTCTAATTAATTAATTAGAAGTCAAACTACTTTACGCACGCTTGACTTGGGGGGGTAAGCGAATGCGTTACGCGTTACAAAAAGTTTGTTAGGGCGAGGCGAACGGGAGTGGAGTGGGGGATATAAGCAAGAGAAAGCAGTGCACGCGCACATATTCTTTCTCTCTTTCTCTAATTTACCCCCACTGGGATTCGAACCCGGGAGCTCTCGAGTCACTACACCATGAAACCCGGTTTACAAACCACTCGGCCACGGAGGTCGTCATTTTTTCCTTTTTATTTTTCGTTGGTCTGACTATCCCGGAATTTATTGTCGCTTTATTTATTGATTTGTAGTATAGCTTTTCAAGTGACATACCTGAACTCTTCAGCCTCTGGTAAGTTAGCAGGTGGTCCTTTCTCTACAATATTCAGGCAGTTCTCAGGGTTTAATATAAAACCAAAAGATATTTCCTGTTTATACCTGTAAATCAAAAATGAATTTTACCACTAAGGTAATATAAAATTAAATTCAGCAATGTGATTGGTTATTCAAAACACAAATTTTTAGAATTTTAATACAACAGTTATATGCATACTAACCCCTCTTTCATAGCCTTATCAGGTTTTTTCTTCACCGACCATGAAAAGTCAGCATCAACCAACTGAAGTATCAGATCAACTCTGTTGCCTAAAGCTCTTGCCAACAATGTATACAGTGTGTCCGTTACTAAAGATAATTTTTCAACACCATAATTTAACTTGACTGATTTAGGAACTTTTTCTGTTACTGACTCAATTAAATGCTGAATATTTTTGAATCTGTAAATAAGTGATGTAATGATTAATTACTGAGGTTAGATTAAAGATTGTATATATAAGTATTTCCAACACTCACACCAATTAGCCTAACCCCAAAGCACTGCAGGCTTGTGTTATGGGATACTAGGGTAACGGATAGAATACATAAATACTGATACATATAAGTATATTTATGAAGAAATACATATTAAACATCCATTTGACCATTTGAACCCGGGTAGGCAACACCTTGAAATCTCAGCATACAAATCACTCAGCCACAGAGGTCGTCTAAAATATGAAGGCAGATAAGAAAAAATGTGTAAAACCTTAAGATGTGATCAAACTGCAACAGCGGTTGTACAGGCATCATGAAAAGTGGTAAGAAACTGTTTATTTTCCCATTGTCCAGCATGTCAACAGCTAACACACTCTCTCTTTTAAGTGCTGCATATGTCCCCTTGCACATCTGCCAGCAGATGTTGTAATAACCTGTAGTGTCGAGAAACACTACAGGGAAACATTCATGGAACTCTTCTATGGGTGGAGTATTACCACTTTTGCACAGAGATATTCCTTTTGTATCCCATTCTGATGTTTCTGAGAATATAAAAAAATACCCAATGTTATAAAAACCATTGCGATTATGTAGACATCTAAAAATACTTGCAAAAATGCAAATTGTTTATTAAAATAGACATGACTTACTTAATGCAATCCAGACATTCCTCACAATCTGGTAACTGCTCATAATGTTATTTATTCTCCTATTCTGAACTAAATATACAATAAACATATTGATTATGTAGCCAGAGACCTGAAGATTTCTTTGTCTTAGCCATATTTTGAGCAATACAATTGATTGCTTTAAATTTTCACTGTTCATCAATGTTTGTTCTAATACACTGTTATTTTCTGCAGCTGTTTGGTCACATAGAATGCTGCTATTGTAGAAGGGAGTTGGTGGGCCAACCTCAGTGTTATTCTCAGCATTTTCCGACAAAAGCCATGATTCTCTCAAGTTATTACGAGATGGACTAAATCTATGTAACTTGTAAGCTTCTGATTGACTTTTCAAATCAATTCGTACCGTCATATGCTTGCCTAACTTTCCTGTTGGTGTCAAATCTAAAACTGGTCTTGTTTCACAACCATTTATCCAAGAATACTGTAAATTTTCTACTCCTTCATAATTCTTCAGATGGGCCGCAATGCATGCCAAGTAAGCTGCTCTCTTTTTATGATACCTATAGTTGATGGAATCATTTTTGGTATATGTATCAGCTGGTACAGTAATTTGTAAATCAACTTTTAGTTTAGAATTTATGGAACATCCTAAACTGTAAGACCCAGCTATTTCTACATTATCAAATTTCAAGAACTTGAAAACACACTTGGTCTTATCAAGTTTAGTGCTAATAGGTAATTTTACTTTGAGCTTTTTATGCAGTGTTGGCTCAGTAAGATTGTATTCAGTGCCATCTTCACATATAGACAGCAGATGATCTTTTAGCTGTAAAAACCACTCCTGGAATTTTTTCTCAGTTTTTTCTTTAACTTGCACCTCAAGTAAGATTTCTTCTATTTGTAAACGAAATAAGTTTGAATTGAAAAGATTTTCTGTCTCCTGGAGACGGTTTAGCTCGTTAACAGTCGGTTGACGGTACAAACTACGTGTTTTTAATCTTTTTTTCGGATTGGCATTGTTGACCCCTTGCACTTTTCCCTTCTCGTCGACGATTTTCAGATCATCTTCATTTTCAGAAATAGAATTTTCGGCAATCTAAATTATTGAAAATACAGAAAACAAGACATTTAGTTTTGTAATGAAAACATACTTCGAAGAATTGAATAAACTTACAGCCAATACTTCTAAACTTACCCTTTTCACCATGATCACTATTAAAATAATACCACATTAATAAATTAAAATTAAGCACATTAAAACCAAATCTTCCAGGTTATTAAATTGGTAAACAACATGCAAATGCCCATGCCGGCCACCCCCATGTGACATTATGACAGTGACAACTATTAGGGGTACCATCAATTCTTTGAGGATTAATCGATATTTTAAAAATCAATAAATCGATTTAAAGATTAATATTTAATTAATATTGATCTCGAAGCCTATCTAGTCACCAGCGATAGATCACATCGCTCTTTATAAGGGAAAAGTCATCATAACCTTTCTCTGTCACACATGTAATTAGGCATTATTTATTTGGCAGGTTTTGAGGTGTCTCAGTAAGTGCAAGCGCAGGATAGTCGGCAAGCTCTGTCGTATATCTGGTTGTTTAGTACGATATGGCTTATCATTATGGTTACTAATAGTATAAAACGAAGGTACTATTAAATGAACTATTTTCTCTACTTAAATATGCCCATTCTTTCTATTACCAGGATATTTTTTTACGGTATCATTATAAACAAGACTAATTTTTCATAGATTTTTGGTTTATACCAATTACATAGTTGATGGCGCTGGGTGTATTTTGCTTATTGTCTCTTGAAATAAAGTGACCTACCTGGTCAGTAGATTTTTTTTTCTTTATTGGTTTTTAAAAAAAAAGTTTATTTTATTTCCCTAATTACTAAAATATCGATTTGCATCGCAATTTCTAAGATTGATATTTTATCAGTGTCCTGCATCCCTAGTGACACATTAGTGTGTGTGTAGTGTAGGGATGCAGAAAATCTCACGGCCGTTAAACTTAAAAAAAATGTAATTCTACTGGGGAGGCAAAGGATACTAAGTTCATACCATCTTATATTTAGTAATATTTCTTTCATATAGAATTCTAGATATACTGAAAATTTTAGAATAAATAATAATGTGACAAAATTTAAGTATTTTCATCATTATCAGCAAAGTCCTCGACATCAACATCTCAATCATAGTTGGATCCATTATCCGTCCATGGTTGTATTGTATCCAAGTTCTCTTCAATTAATGATTTTTCTTACTAGTTCCTAGTTTCTGTTTTAGTGACATTTTTATTAGGAATTTTCTTATTCTCATTCTTCTACCCTAAATTGAAGATTCTTCATCACAGCTACGTGTTAAGACTAGACATAACTACTCTGAACATAGGTTCGAGCTCACACTGTTAAATGGATGAATCAGAAACTTAACTTAGCATAATGAGACTTTCATATCAACTTCGAGGTACCTACGTAGATGTAAAGGAGTGAATACATTTCGGTATCCTTGACTGTCTGCACCAACAATGACACAAAAAAATAATGAAACAAAAGTTTTAACAAATAATTTTTATTTTATAAGTATTCATTTTATCTACAAGTTTGGGTTTTAATTCGAGTATCAGTGCACATCAAAAAATGTAGGTGATTATATTATTAGCAACACGAATAAAAAATAAATAGTTGTCTTTTAAATACGGATAAAATTTGCCTAATCTATAATGACATACATATTAAATATCCAAATTGTTTTATATTTACAAATCGTTATTATACATGCAATTACATATAAATATTATATTATAATCTCAAAAAAAGTGTAAACTTCTTGATATTTAATATCAAGATTTTTAGTTCTAATACCTTAAGGTACAGGCTTTGGTAATCAGTATTCTTCATTAGACTAAATTTCAACACAAGCAATACATTTCTCGTAACATCAAGTTGCAAAATTCTATTGCATCAAAAATACTGTTTAGTGTTCCCGTCTGTTGCTTGGAGGGTTTCGCAAAGGGAATTCGATTTTTGCCGCGCAATCGTAGAGATGCGCCATTTTGCAGGTGACCTAGGACTTGCCAGAATAAAAAAAATCGTTATTAATTTCGAATATTACGCGCCCGAGTAATATCTTTTCTGTACAAATAGATATTAATTAGTTTAATTTAGAGATGATGGCGTTGGTGTATTCGCTGCACTTTCCAGTGCCACCGAGGTCACCCGTGAGACTCTTGCCCTCCCGCAGTACTGTGTAGCAGGCGTTCTGCACGCGATCCGCGTGTTCGTTGAGCTGCAGGTGTCTCAGCATCATGATAGCAGACAGTAGGAGAGCAGTGGGGTTGGCCATGTCTTTACCGGCGATGTCGGGAGCAGTGCCGTGCACCTGGCATTAAGGAATAATTAATTAATAAAGGGATCATCCTATGTGGACAAAAAATAATAATAGCATTCGTCTGCAACACTCTTGCCGGTCTACTGATGGTTGAAAAAAAATCGTTAAAGCTTGTACTTTGTATCTGTAGTATCTATATATACATACATATATGACGTCACATTATAATAATTCTTTTTATCACATTAGAGAGCCCCGTCACGTTAAGTAGTTTTCGGAATTTAAAACGTATTAGTGGTGCGCCCTCTCGCTTCGCTTAGGTGTAAAGCTGTAGTGTATAGACTATAGAGTTTTTTCTCAGGCTTGTACTATACACAATGACATTCTTCTAATACGTAACTACAATAGGCACGCGCCCGTTACCGCCAGAACAGCTATGTCCCTGCATTTTAAATCTGTAATATCTTCGAAAATATTCATTTAAATTAGACGCTGTAAAGGGACAAATTGATCTATATTAAATGCACAATGTATTTAAGGTACTTAATTGGATAAGGATGAATGCTCTATTGCTGAAAATCGCTTCGTAAATAGGCTATTATTTCACGTAAAAAGTAAAGAATAAAAATTGTTTTTGTGGGTTATCCCTGAGAGATAGACATATACCATCGCTGACTTTTTTGTAGAACTTTTTAAGATGTACAATACTGTAGTACATTAATTGATCTATCTCGTAGGCTTCAGCCAGCGGTTGCAATGTAAGAACAAAAAATGAGTTTATTTACAACCTTAGATTAAAAACCTCTAAAATTATCAGTGTTTTTTCTACTATATTATGCATGTATTATACATATAAACCTTACTCTTGAATCACTGTATCTATTAAAAAAAAAATGGTTGCCTGTAAAGTCGGTTTTACGGGCGAAGATTTTACGTGACAACGTCTTTTTCTCGGTAGAATATTTATTGATATGAATATAATTAAATTGCACAATAGGAACAAGGAATTGAATGAAAATAAGAATTGCACAAATTTTAACTATAGAAATATATTTTGTTTACTAAAACATTGTACATGTAAACTTAAACTCATCGTAACGTTACCGAGCGTTACACTTTTTCATAAGTGACTCCCAGCCGCAACCTAATTTAAGACGTTGTCACGTCAAAATCAAAATCCGTTGCGTAGTTTTAAAGACCTAAGCATACATAGGGACAAACAGAGGGAAGCGACTTTGCTTTATACTATGTAGTGAAAGTGACAACACAGATTTATAGTACCTAATGGCGCAGTAGTTAGAGCGATCGGTTTGCAATGACTATTGCCGGTCACCGGGTGGGTTACCAAAAGTTTACTATCTTGAGCAACACCGTACTCCAGAAAGGACATTAAGCAGTTGATCCCTGTTGCACAATCAGTCGTAAACTTTCAACCATTTTAATATCTTTATTAGCATACGCATTGAAAATCAATACTTTCTCATAGCTATTAGTTCAGCAGTGCTATTTTGTAAGAACAATCTCACTTTTCACCTTGTTACCCGCGATATGATTTAAAATAACAATGTCACAATGAGGATCATTTCGAAGTCAACAAATCAACTCAAACCACCACAAAAGTCTTCCAATAAGATAAGCTCATCAATATAATTTTTAAATAATCGAAATCAGCCCATCCGTTGCGATTTTATAACTCTTTTTAAAAAGCCAATATTTATGGACGGGCGGGATGAAGGGCCAGAGACCTCTTTTCGTATTCTGTGGGCCAGAGAGTGACGTCACAGACCTCGATCCGCTCGAAGTCGCGCTATAGGCAAATACTTGCCCTCACAGAACACAGAATCTCGAATTCTGTGTTCTGAATGAATCTCTTGAACACGCGTCCACTTCAAGTGGCGATACTCTTTGGGGAAGAGATTGAATGTTTATTTAATTTTATTTATATACAGACGTGTGCGTGTGTGAGTTGCTTGAGTTGGAGCATATTTTATTTGATGCTAGTGTATGCGCACCGTATCTTCCCTTTTTGTTTTAATCTAAGTACAACCCGAATTTTAAATCACACTAGCGAAATCCACGGTGAATAGTTGAGTTTGTTCTTTTGGAAATGCAATGTTTTGTTGGTTGTTTCAAATGGTTTTTACTCACAAATTAAAAAAAAAAAATCTGAACGGATGGTGACCCTATCTCCGACTCCAAATTTATCTCTTTTATTAACTCCACAAACAAAAAAATCATAATCTTCTTCAAACCAATTATTCTGGCATGACATATTTTTGAATGACGTCATATCGCACCTCCGGTGCGACACTGTCACTTCTGCAAAAAAATCATTTTTTCAGGAGAAGCGTTTAAAACTTTAACATCCCAAAACATACATTGGTGTCGATTCCGGCGTGATTCTCTAAACTTAAAACTAAATTTAACATCAGTCTCTCCTTTTCATTCTGTATAGAGAATGACAAGGATACACTGGTGTCAAATTTAAGTTTAGGTTTAGAGAATCATGTCAGAATTGACACCAATATTTAAAGTTTTTTTTTATTTTTTTTAGATAAATAGCTAAGCTGTATAAGCTTTTCATCACGTAAAAATCTTTAAATATTGTATGTTTTGGGATGTTAAAGTTTTAAACGCTCATCCAGAAATAAAAATCTTTTTGCATAAATGACAGTGTCGCACCGGAGCGCGGAGGTGCGATATATGGGCTATCACATAGTTTTTCTGGTGTGACCAGATTATTGACTCTGCAAAGTTATCGTGGTTCGACTTCGTTAGATTTTTTCTTAACAATTTGACTATAGTTAAAATAAATTACCTCTCAAAAAAGATCGACATCTCTCAACTTAACGCATATCAACCAATAGGGGCAGTGTCGTATATGCTATAATAGGCTAGTTGACCCTTTTTGGAAAAAGGTTTTAAATGATTAATAAATGTTCTATTAGACCGAAAAAAATGTATTGTATTTTTTTTAAACCTAGAAAGCTACAAATCTTTAATTTTAAAATAGACTTTTCATGGACATACAAAAACGCTGTCGGCCATTTTAGTCTATAGATTATCTATGCTATGACGTGAACTGTGGTAAACAAAAACTCGTAAACACGTAGAAAATTACTTTTAACTGAGTTTATAATAAAAAAAAAACATGATTTCTAATAAATACCACGAAAACTAAAGTAATTATCATTACTGTATTGTACGAGAATATAAAAACACATCCTTGAAGACTCCAGGAAAGTTGTGGATTAAAGTGCCGAAAGAAATTAACCTACGCAACTTTATTACACTTATTCATATGTTGTATCAGTTTTGTGTTTATTACTACATTGTAATACTAAATCCACTGTACTTACATAAATGCCTTGTCGTTTCTCTGCTCCGCCGAGCAGAAATCGGGGTTTAGTGCAACAAATTCACCAACCATCAATGCGTCAATTCTTGGCAGATTTGTGCTTTCTGCTTTCACAAAGCCGGTTAGTTTTGTCAAAAAAAAACTAAGTTTACTGTTTTTTTCTTTCATAAAGTTAAATGTGTTTTAAGATAAAAGTCAGACGAAAGAATCCACCTACAGTAACACGCGAATGTCATTTAGTTGTTTACCACAAGAGACGTCAAAATCATGGCGGATGTGGCGAACAGAGTTTTTAGTGTTTAAAAAATATAGACTAAAAAATATTTTTTAAAATTAAATTTCTACAGCCATCTTCTGCTTTTATGAAGTGAAATCGATATATTAAGGTTCCTTAGACTAAATACTTTAAGAAATAAACATTTTTTTAATATAATTCGACATGAGTAAACTAGCCTATTGCAAATAAAAATACATAAGGATTAAAAATATTGTGCGAAAGACAGTTATGATAAAAAGGATGTTAAATAGGATTTTAATGGTAAATAAAACAACATTTTATTCGGGTCTGTATTTATTTACATAAATAATAAGTAAAACACTAAAAATCGTGTACTATCGCACTTCATGTACCTACTTAATGTGTAAAAAATGGTTGCCTGTAAAGTCGGTTTTACGGGCGAAGATTTTACGTGACAACGTCTTTTTCTCGGTAGAATATTTATTGATATGAATATAATTAAATTGCACAATAGGAACAAGGAATTGAATGAAAATAAGAATTGCACAAATTTTAACTATAGAAATATATTTTGTTTACTAAAACATTGTACATGTAAACTTAAACTTAACACGAGAGACTCATCGTAACGTTACCGAGCGTTACACTTTTTCATAAGTGACTCCCAGCCGCAACCTAATTTAAGACGTTGTCACGTCAAAATTAAAACACATGATCCTGCAGTGTTTATAATCAGATTATATCTGATAGGGTTAAACTTAATAATAATAATAAATACATTGAACTTATAATTGTATTGGTATTTAAAAATATGTGCTAAAAATCACTAAACACTCTACTGAATAAAAATACAATCACAAAACAAAGGAACTTGATATAATACAAGTATTATCACGCATACATTTTGATTTTCTAGTTGAATACTGCTCGAAAAGGTGGCAACACAATGGCAAATACTGGTAACACTGTTCCTCGTATCTCTTAGCACGTGTGATACTGACAATTATCATCAATATAACTTCCTATTAAATTTAATAATAACTAAGAAAAATAAATTCGTTAAAACAATGGAATAATGAAGTAATTCAATAATTATTTTAACATAGCGAATGTTAAGCTTACATAAATTTTGATAACAGTACGTGGAATGTTTAATTCATTTACACAAAGACTAATTCTCTAACAAATAGTTAGGCACTATAATATTATTCAATCGAGCCTAGCCTAGATTCGTATTAGAACACTACGGATGTTAGTGGATTGCATCACTAAACACTCGCATCAAATATATTATAGCAGACAACAATATTGAACTGAAAGCCCAGAAACACAGCGAATATAATAGGGGTGATGACGGGGTACAGTAAACGAAATTCTATTTATTCAGTTAGATGATCAAAAAAATAATGTACACGTATTTTTTCTTTGGGCAATCAACCAAAAAATGACAAAGTT